TCAGCCCCGGCTCAGGGCGGAACAAAGCACCGAGTCAGTAATAAATAACGCTAATAAATGAGGATAATAAATAGTGATAATAAATAAGGATAGGGAGGCAAAAAGCACAGAGGGGTGAGGGAAGCGGGGCTGTGTGCCAGGGCACCCCCGTGGGCACCGGCTCAGGGCTCTGCTCTCCCATCACCAGCTACAACGTGGACTCCAAGAGCTGCTCCGTTTTAAAGCAGGTGAGCACAGCCCATGTTGGGGGGACACATGGTGGTGCCCCGATGTGATGCCACAGCGGGCACCCCGAGGCTGTGCCCTGTGTGGAGGGGCCAGGTGCCACTGGCCTCAGGGGGCTCTAACCCACTCTCCATCTCTCCATGCCCCATGGGGACCGGCAGAAGGTAGGTGGGCTGGCCATGCACCAACCCCATGGGGACAGGACACACCACAGGGTGGCTTTCAGGGTGCAGGATGGGTGTGGGGTGGCCCGAGAGGTGCAGGACTGGTTCAGGGAAGTGAGGTGGCCTTGGGGGGGCACAAGGAGGGTCCAGGGCCGTGGGATGGCCCAGGTGGCAAAGGATGGGTCCAGAGCATGTAGAGTGGGCACCTGAAGTCATCCTGGGGGTGCAGGATGGGTCCTCAGTGGGGGGCTCTTGGGGCACAGGGTGGGTCCAGGGTACTTGGTGTGGCCCCAGGGCAGGGTGGCAGCAGGTCCCATGGGTGCACTGGGAGGGTGAGGGGTGGATGTGGGTGGGGGGGTCTGTGGCAGGAGCCCCCAGGGTCTCACGACGCTGTGCTTGGGGCGCAGGACTTCCTGGGGCAGGCATTTGTGGCACTGGGGGAGGTGATCGGGTCCCAGCGGGGCCGCCTGGAGAGACCCCTCACGTGAGTCATGCCCTGTGGCAGGGTGAGGGGGGGGTCCTGCATCGTGTCCCCAACCACCCGCCCCATGGGACCCTGTCCCTGCATGTCCCCTGCTGGGGACAATGGCCACACTAACAAGTGTTAGCTGTGGGGCACAAGCCTCAAACTTGAGCCCATCTCCTCCCCCTGTCCCATCCTCCATGTCCCCAAGCTGACCTGGCACCTCTGCCCCCAGGGGGGTCCCAGGGAAGCGGTGTGGGACCATCCTGCTGCTGGCTGAGGAACTGAGCAACTGCCGGGTGAGTGCCCGTGTCCCTGTGGCAGCGAGGCAGGGGCTGCATGTCCCCCCCCAGCACAGACAGCAGCTGGGGCTGGGGACAAGGAGGCAGCCGGCAGTGACAGTCCACATCCACAGGACATCATCACAATGCAGCTGTGTGCCAACAAGCTGGACAAGAAGGACTTCTTCGGAAAATCCGACCCCTTCCTCGTCTTCTACCGCAGCAACGAGGACGGCACGTGAGCGCAGGGGCCCGGTGGGGTGGGCAGGTGCCAGTGTCACCGTACAGCGCACCCCGACCCTGCCCTGTCCCCGCAGCTTCACCATCTGCCACAAGACGGAGGTGGTGAAGAACACGCTCAACCCGGTGTGGCAGCCCTTCACCATCCCCGTGCGCGCTCTCTGCAACGGCGACTACGACCGGTACGGGGACAGGGACAGGGACCAGGGTAGTGTGGTGGGGATGGTGACACGACTGGTCATGGGGCCAGAGCATCTCCTTCATGGGTTTCACCCCGCAGCGGCAGGCAGCTCAGAATTGAGTCATTATTAGGTTTTTTTTACCCTCTTTTGCAACCCAAATTACATAAAGGCATCCCCCTCCTTTCCAGGGGCCCTGCCCTGACCCAAATTTCCCGCTTCCCTCCTGGCAGAGATGCCGGCGGCTGGCAGGCAGGGGGGCTCGCTGCTGGGGTGCTGAGGGGCTGGATGTCCCCAAACCAGGGGGGGGCCATACCAGCCAGGCTGGCAGCTCACCCTCTGCCTGCATTCACTTGCAGGACAGTGAAGATAGACGTGTACGACTGGGACCGGGATGGGAGGTGAGGCTGTGTCCATGGGGTGGCGGGGGACATCAGGGTGCCACCACCACTTACTGGGGTGCCTCTCATCGGGGCATCTGGGCATGGCAACCCCATGGTCCTCCCCCAGCCATGACTTCATCGGGGAGTTTGCCACCAGCTACCGGGAGCTCTCCCGAGCGCAGAGCCAGTTCACGGTGTACGAGGTAGGGCAGGGGGCCAGGGTGGGGGGCAGGGGGACACCCCGCACTGGAGATGACCCACCCCTGCACTCACAGGTGCTGAACCCCAGGAAGAAATGCAAGAAGAAGAAATATGTGAACTCCGGCACCGTGAGTGGGGCTGGGGCACTCCTGGGGCTCCTGCCCACAGGAGGCCAGGTCTGATCCCCTCCCTGTTCCCACCAAGGAGGGGGGGTCTGGGTCTGACCCCCCCGTGCCCACAGGTGACACTGCTCTCCTTCTCCGTCGAGTCCGAGTTTACCTTCGTTGACTACATCCGGGGCGGGTGAGTAGGGGGCTGGGTGCCCCCGGCTCCCCGAGACCCCCCACGGACAAGGGTCTCGGGGTGAGGACGGAGGTGACAGCGCAGGTGCAGCCTGGGGGTGAGGAGGGGGTGGTGGGGCTGGGGAGGGAGCGCAAGACGGTGGCCCTGGGCTGTGGGGCGGTGGTTGGGGAAGCAGAGGCCCAGGTGATGGGTCCTGGGGTGGGGAGGACACGATGGCTGGAAGATGGCATCCCTGTGCCGTGGGGCCGGCAGCCTCCCTCGCTCTCCCCCCCAAGGACGCAGCTGAATTTCACCGTGGCCATCGACTTTACGGCCTCCAACGGTGAGTGCAGACGGTGCAGGGGGGGGAGTCCCATGGGCCCGGCTGTGGGGCCAGCCATGGGGCAGGTGCCAAGGGACGCTGTGCCGCAGGGATGCCGTCACAGCCCACCTCGCTGCACTACGCGAGCCCCTACCAGCTGAGCGCCTACGCCCTGGCGCTGAAGGCGGTGGGGGAGATCATCCAGGACTACGACAGCGACAAGCTCTTCCCCGCCTACGGCTTCGGTGCCAAAGTCCCACCTGACGGCAAGATCTCCCACCAGTTCCCCCTGGTGCGCCGTGGGGTCGGGCAGGGCTGAGGGTGGACCCAAATCTCTTGGCTGTGGGGCAGGGCTGGCCGTGGGGTGCCCACAGCAGCTCGGTGGGGAAGGGAAGCACCTTGGCTGCATCCTGCTTCAGCATCCCGTAGCTGTGGGGGGACACTGTGAGCCGTGCTCCCCTTCCAAGTGCCCATCCCTGTCCCCCAGAATAACAACGCTGACAACCCCAGCTGCGCTGGCATTGAGGGTGTGCTGGAGTCCTACCTCCAGAGCCTGCGCACTGTCCAGCTCTATGGTCCCACCAACTTCGCCCCCGTCATCAACCAGGTGGCTGGGTGAGCACCAGAGAACTCTGTCCCCTTTGCCATCCCCAAATGCCGCCACTCCCACAGTGAGGACGGCTGCCCCACACCAGTGGGGCTGCTGCAGTGACCCCATCCCTCGTCCCCATAGGACGGCTGCGCAGGTGACTGACGGCTCGCAGTATCACGTCCTCCTCATCATCACCGATGGCGTCATCTCTGACATGCTGCAGACCAAGGAGGCCATCGTCACCGTGAGTGCACCCTCATTGCCGTGAGTTCACCCCAGGCTGGGTGCTGTCCCGGCTGCCACCCTCCCTCTGCTCCACAGGCTTCCGCCTTGCCCATGTCCATCATCATCGTGGGAGTGGGTCCGGCTGAGTTTGAGGGTGAGTTGGGGCTTGGGGACACCAAGGAAGGGGGATGGAAACACCATCCCTGTTTCTGGGATGTGAAAGGTGGCCCAGAGGAAAGGATGGTGTGGCCACCCCATCGAGGGTTGGTGACACTGTCACCCCGCAGCCATGGAGGAGCTGGATGGCGATGAGGTGCGGTTGTCCTCCCGGGGACGCTACGCCGAGAGGGACATTGTGCAGGTAACGCCACCATTGAGCCCAGCCCTGCCACGGGCGAGCGACGCTCAGCCCCTCGCTGACCCCCGCAGCCCCAGGGTTGTTTCCAACCGAGCTGCAAAACGTCTTTCCCCTCGGAAGTTCGTGCCGTTTCGGGATTACGTGGACGACTCGGGAAACCAGGTGCTGAGCATGGCCCGCCTGGCCAAGGACGTGCTGGCCGAGATCCCCGAGCAGCTGCTCTCCTACATGAAGACCCGCGACATCAAGCCTCGCCAAGCAGACCCCCAGTAGCTCCTCCATGGGCCGTGGGGACAGCTGGTGGGGCGAGGACATGTGTCACTCCTCTTCAGTGGGGCTGGGCTGCGGAGATGTGGCCCCGCTGAGGGTGATGCCCCCTTGATGTGCCCAGTGGACCCGTCTGGGACCCTCCTGGCAGCGAGACCTCGGGGCTGGACGTCCCCGGCTGCCACCTCCTCCTGCCCGGCCGGTGGCCATGCCCCGGCACAGTGGGGCTGGCTCGGACTGTACCGTCCTGTGGGGCAGGGATGGTGGGGGGCACAGGCTGTGGGGTGGCCATGGAGCGTCCCCCCACCGGGAGGGCAGCCCGGAGGGAGCTGACCCTGGGATTGGGTGCATGCCGGGGGTCCCAGCCCCGCCATCTCCTTGGGGGCAAGGGCCCCCCCCCCCCCCAGCTCCTGCCTGTACCCCATTCCCGCCTGCGGCCCCGCTCTGCTGCCCCACAGCCTGCCCCACAGCCGGGGGATGCCGGGCCGGGAGGGCAGGCGGGCTTCTGTACCGTGTCACCGACTGTAAATAAACTGCTCCGACCGGGCCCGCTGCCGTGATGGGGCTGGGGAGGACCCGGGGAGAGGGGGGGGCAGCCGGGGCGGGGCTGCCGGGCTGGGCCTGTGATTCGCGGCGGCAGATTCGCCTCAGCCGGCGCGGCGCGGCCCGGCCCCCGCCGGCCCTTTCCCCGGGGCCTTCCCGAGGCTTTCCCCGCTTCCTCTTCCGTCGTTCGTCCCCCGCCGCCATCTCCTCCGCTCCCCGCCGCCTCCGCCGGCCCGTCCTCGGCCCGTGCCGAAAGTGCGGTTGCTAAGGGCGGCGCGGCGCTTTTTACCCAGCGGCCGCCCCGCGCCAGGCGCCGCCGCAGCCTCCATTGTTGCGGCCCGGCCCGGGCCCGCCGCCGCCGCCACCGCCGCCCATGGAGCCACCGCCACCGCCCGCCCGTTGAGCGCAGCCCCGGGGCCGGTGAGCGCGGCCGGAGTGCAGGGAGGGAGGGAGGAAGGGAAGGGCGGGTTGCCGGGGCCGGGGCCTGGGCCTGGGCCTGGGGAGGGGGCGGGGGGCCCGGCCTGTCCTGGCGTTAACCCCCCCCAACCTCCACCCTCGGTCCCCCTCAGCCCCCGCCATGGGCGTAGACTTCGACGTGAAGACCTTCTGCCACAACCTGCGGGCCACCAAACCCCCCTACGAGTGCCCGGTGGGCACCTGCCGCAAGATCTACAAGAGCTACAGCGGGATTGAGTACCACCTCTACCACTATGACCACGACAACCCCCCCCCGCCCCAGCACACCCCCCTGCGCAAGCACAAGAAGAAGGGGCGGCAGGCCCGCGCCGCCAACAAGCAGTCGCCCAGCCCCTCCGAGACCTCTCACCCTTCCCCCGCTTCCTCTTCCGTTGCTCGTCCCCCGCCGCCATCTCCTCCGCTCCCCGCCGCCTCCGCCGGCCCGTCCTCGGCCCGTGCCGAAAGTGCGGTTGCTAAGGGCGGCGCGGCGCTTTTTACCCAGCGGCCGCCCCGCGCCAGGCGCCGCCGCAGCCTCCATTGTTGCGGCCCGGCCCGGGCCCGCCGCCGCCGCCACCGCCGCCCATGGAGCCACCGCCACCGCCCGCCCGTTGAGCGCAGCCCCGGGGCCGGTGAGCGCGGCCGGAGTGCAGGGAGGGAGGGAGGAAGGGAAGGGCGGGTTGCCGGGGCCGGGGCCTGGGCCTGGGCCTGGGGAGGGGGCGGGGGGCCCGGCCTGTCCTGGCGTTAACCCCCCCCAACCTCCACCCTCGGTCCCCCTCAGCCCCCGCCATGGGCGTAGACTTCGACGTGAAGACCTTCTGCCACAACCTGCGGGCCACCAAACCCCCCTACGAGTGCCCGGTGGGCACCTGCCGCAAGATCTACAAGAGCTACAGCGGGATTGAGTACCACCTCTACCACTATGACCACGACAACCCCCCCCCGCCCCAGCACACCCCCCTGCGCAAGCACAAGAAGAAGGGGCGGCAGGCCCGCGCCGCCAACAAGCAGTCGCCCAGCCCCTCCGAGACCTCTCAGTCGCCGGGCCGAGAGGTGATGACCTACGCCCAGGCCCAGCGCATGGTGGAGGTGGACCTGCACGGTCGCGTCCACCGCATCAGCATCTTCGACAACCTCGACGTGGTCTCCGAGGACGAGGAGGTGCCCGAGGAGGTGCCCGAGAATGGGAGCAATAAGGAGAACACAGAGACCCAGAGCGTCCCGCCCAAATCCGGCAAGCACAAGAACAAGGAGAAGCGCAAGGACTCCAACCACCATCACCACAACGCCTCGGCTGGCACCACCCCCAAGCTCCCCGAGGTGGTGTACCGGGAGCTGGAGCAGGACACTCCTGACGCCCCACCTCGCCCCACCTCGTACTACAGGTATTGTCCGTGGCCGGGGCGTGAGGTGGCTCCCAGGCAGCTCTGGCTCGTGCCCTGTGTCTGGAGGCAGAATTGGCCCCGCTCTGTGCAGGCGGCTTGTCTGTGGCTTGTGGAGATGGCCTTTATCTGCCTCTCCCGGGTCCCACGGAGCTGGCTGTCCCATGACTTCAGGCTCTCTGAGCTCTGTCTGGCATTGTGCCCCAGTTTTGAGGGGTCCTGGTGCTTTCAGAGCCCTTGTCACTGCTTAGGTCATTGCTGGCAGTTGGATTGCCTCGCTCTTTCCTTGCTGGGATGGCAGGTAGAGTTATAACAAAAAGCAAACCTGTTCTGCCTTCTCCATCGCTCTTCAGAGGTATGATGGGGTAGCTCTGGAGCCCCCCAGCACCAAGGTGTACCCGTAAAGATGTGTCTATTTGTGGGCTTATTGTGTCTTGGTTGTCCTATGTTTTTCCCATGTGTGATTTGGCAACTACAGTGGCCCAAAGTAATACCTCGAGCAGAGAGTTAATACTGAACCGAAGTAAGGGTTGTGTGGCCACCCCTGCCATCCTAGTTGCCATGAACCCTGAGAAACTGGCACCGCATTCCAGGGACAGGTTAATGACGTTATTTTATGTGAGGGTGTTGGAAAAGAAGTTCCCCCCGCAAGGTGCCCACAGTGCTGCTCACTGCAGTGGCTGGGGGTAGTTGTCATCAGTCACTGGAGCAGTAGCCTTGGGGTTCTGGCTCTTTTCTCTCTAAATAACATTCCCTCATCCACAACTGGGAGTGAAAGAGAAGAGGGCACAGACACCCTCATCAGAATTAATGAAATGTGTTGCCTCCATGCCTGGTTGCTGTGAGTCTTAGGCGTGAGGCTGCTGTCTCCAGAGCATTTAGCACCCCTTGGTGGCTCATTCAGGCTCCCATCCTTGCGCTGATGAGTCTCCAAGGCCTTGCCCGTTAAACAAGTGTTATTTGGTCTGTGTTGTGCCCAACGCCCTGGTGTGCCGCTGCGCTGCTCAGGGTGCAGCAGCACCTCCTGCTTTTGCATGTTCCTGCCTTGTCCAGTTTTTTTTTATTTTGACTTACAGCTTGGCTGTAGCTTTTAAATGTTCCCTCAGCCTTGGCATGTGGGATTTAAGGTTTAGCAGGTCCAAGCCCTCACCAGCTGTATCCTCACCCTCCCATGCTGCCCTTCCAGGTACATCGAGAAGTCAGCAGAGGAGCTGGATGAAGAGGTGGAGTACGACATGGACGAGGAAGATTACATCTGGCTGGACATCATGAACGAGCGGCGGAAGACCGAAGGCGTGAGCCCCATTCCCCAGGAGATCTTTGAGTACCTGATGGACCGGCTGGAGAAGGAGTCCTACTTCGAGAGCCACAACAAGGGGGATCCAAACGCCTTGGTGGACGAGGATGCCGTCTGTTGCATCTGCAACGACGGGGAGTGCCAGAACAGCAACGTCATCCTCTTCTGCGACATGTGCAACCTGGCCGTGCATCAGGAGTGCTACGGGGTGCCCTACATCCCGGAGGGACAGTGGCTCTGCCGACGGTGCCTGCAGTCGCCCTCGCGAGCCGTGGACTGTGCCCTCTGCCCGAACAAGGGGGGGGCCTTCAAGCAGACGGACGATGGGCGCTGGGCACACGTGGTCTGTGCCCTCTGGATCCCGGAGGTGTGCTTTGCCAACACCGTCTTCCTGGAGCCCATCGACAGCATCGAGCACATCCCGCCCGCCCGCTGGAAGCTGACCTGTTACATTTGCAAGCAGCGCGGCTCCGGGGCTTGCATCCAGTGTCACAAAGCCAACTGCTACACTGCCTTCCACGTCACCTGCGCCCAGCAGGCCGGGCTGTACATGAAGATGGAGCCCGTCCGGGAGACGGGGGCCAACGGTACCTCCTTTAGCGTGCGCAAAACGGCCTACTGCGACATCCACACGCCGCCGGGCTCCGTGCGCAGACTTCCCGCCCTCTCCCACAGTGAGGGGGAAGAGGAGGACGAGGAGGAGGAGGAGGAGGGGAAAGGCTGGAGCTCTGAGAAAGTGAAAAAAGCGAAGGCTAAGTCTAGGATCAAGATGAAGAAGGCGCGGAAGATCCTGGCAGAGAAACGAGCCGCAGCGCCAGTGGTTTCCGTGCCCTGCATCCCCCCGCACAGGTACAACCTGCCACCTTCCCTCAGCTGTGGAGAAACTTCTCCCTTTCCCCATGCCTTTTGTCCCCCTTTCCACGCGGGCGTTGTCTTGTTCCTCCCCTTAGCTTTTTGCACAGGTACTTTTCGCTTTGCTCTCGCAGAGGGCTGTTGGTGGCTTCCTCTGGGAGTCCTGCAGAGAGGGAGGGCGATGCACTGCCCCGCAAAGGTGTCTGGGCCCTCAGCAGGGCAGGAAATAGCTGCTGTTAGTTTAGCAGCAGAGAATGAGCTTGGCTGGATGCATCAGGAAGCAGCTGGGGGTTCCCAGCACTCCTTTCCTGTTGTGCTGACCTCAGGCACTGGGTAAACGGAGGAGAGAGGAGGGAGCTGCTCTCCTTTCTACTGAGGTTTGTTTTCTCCTTGAGGCTGAGCTGGGAAAAAGAGGGAAGCGTGGGAGCGATTCAGGCCTGGGAAATGAGCTAACCCCAGGGGTTGTTTTGGCTCTGAAGCCAAGAGGTCTTGTATCGGGATCCCTGTGCCCTGCTGAGCACAGCTCATCCCTCCCAGCAACCGCTTACCCCTTGCTGGGCTTCCTCAGTGCTTTCTGCCAGTCGCAGGCAGCAGCTCTGCCTCCGTGCTGCCTGTCAGAGCAGGAAGCCTCTGCACAGCTGCCTGCGAGGGGTGGCTGGAGAGCACCAAGGGACACAGCCGTCGTGAGATTGGCTCCACAGCACGAGGGCAGCATAGGTGCTGTCAGGCAGATACTGCCAGGAGTTGTCCCAATTTCCTGTGAGCTAGGGCTCACAGGAAGATGCAAACACCTGGTTGTTACAGGTATAATTGCTGTGTGTCTCATTCTGGTCTGACCATTAGGCTGGTGTGCAAGTTCCGGAAACAACAACATCTCAGAGCCTTGCCTAAATTTGTCAGTGTAGTTCATAACTCTGTGTGTCCTCGGCAGCATGCAAAAGCACATAGAAGCATCTTAGGATGGTTTTGGATCTTGCTGTCACCCTGCAGCCCACATCACACAGTCAAAACGCAGGTTGGGCATGGAAGCGTTTGCCTTTGCGGTTGTCAGCCACCACCCCTGACTGCTGAGCAGATGTGACACAGCTGTGACAGCACAGGGACGTGGGACTGCCACTTCCCTGCAGACCCTCAAGACCATCAGGACCAACCCAATGCGGTTGGAGGGGACCACGCAGAAGCCGTGGGTTTCGCTCTCTGGGCAGCGTTCTGGTGACTTGTGGAGGCAGATCTCTGCTACATGGCTGCTGGCACTCTGCCACGATCTGTCTGTGTACCAACCTTATGTTATTGCTCACTCGGGGCTTGCTCTGTAGCCGGAGCCTCTTTTCTCATGTGCAGACGTGTTGGCAGGCAGTTTGTAGGCTCTTGCTGCTATCGTTGTGCTTGCAGTGAAACCCACACTGAGCTAGAAGCTGTTAACCTCTCCCCAGGCCTTCCTGTTGGGATTAATTATTCTTCAAGGGCTCTTGCCAGAATGCCAAATGTCTTCCTGTGGGAGCTGTGCTTGGCCGGCGGTGGCACATGAGGCTGCTCTCTCCAGCCTCTTCAGCTGAGGCTGATGCAGGTCGGGTCATCCCCCACGAAGAGCTGTCCCTGTGAAGCCTGGAGATGCTGGGGATTCATCCCTTTGCCTTCCCTGCTAGCAGAGCATCTCTGTCTGGCCTTGCTGAATGAGCCTGTCACAGCCCCTCCAGGCTTTCTGAAGTTATAGAGGGTAGGAAAATCCCTTCTGTGATGTTTACGGCTGTTTAGGAGAGTCCTTCATTAGCTCAGATAGGAGCTCTGTGCTTGTGCCTCCTATTCTCTCATCAAAATTTGCCAGGTTTGGTTGAGTTATGGGCTCCTTGGGGCTCAAGTTTTTCTGGTAACATTTGGCCAGGGCCTTTGTCACTGTGGGTGGCGCTCAGCCGGGTAAATAATGGGTTTGGGATAGCCAAATGCTCATGGTCTTGGGGACTGTGGGAGCTGTTAAAGGTCCAGTCCCTGATGCAGCCGTGTCGCACTCTGTCCTGATGCAGCCTGCCCCAGGCTTTTGCCTGAAATTTGGCAGGAGGTAGAAAGGAAAAGCCTGTTTCGGAGAG